TACACATTTGTGTTTAACCTTTCTCCTTTAAAAATTGCCGCGTACTAAATATCAAGAAAGGCGTTTGTTTTTATGTGTCTGTTGGGGGGGGGGGGGACTAGGGATTCACTGGGGAGCCAAAGGGGGCGCTAGCCTGAAAAAGTTTGGGAACCACTGTACTAAAGCAATTCTCATTGTGGAGTACGTTCAAGTGTACTAAGGCAGATTATGTCGCGCAAATCTATTCCGTTTTATTCTGATTCTTAGGTATACCCGGCATTAACTCCGTGATTGCATGGTGATAGCCTGATAGGATGTATTTTGTACATAAAATTTAACATGATATATGATATACCTCCAAACACTTGCGTCCGAAACTTTTGGCTATAATTTCGGACCGAAATTACATCTTCTATGATCAATAGAATAACGTTAATTAATTACTCGACTAATTCTAGCTTTCTTAAATTCAAAATTTATTATTCGTTCTCTTCTCTTATGCATCTAAAAGCATTTAGCAAGATCAGATCAGAACGCCTTACTTCACATTTCCATGAACAATCGATGACATTTCATACGATATCTTATTTCTGATATATTGCACATAATATTGTTCTACGCAATATCTTCAAACTCATCAAATTCCAACAGCGTCGCGAAGAAAGCCGACCACCAAGCGATGCCACCGCTTTCTCTGTTATGTACGCGCCGTACAGTCTCGGTGTTACGCGGTGGCTCACCGCTACACAGTGCACCCTCGACGTAGCGGCTCTGCTACACAGTGCACTCCCGACGTAGCGGCTCTCTGTTGCATGGCGCACACCCAACGTAGCGGCTCACTGCTACACAGTGCACCTTCGACGTAGCAGCACACACGCTGCTACTCATTCGTCATACCGCCGATCCCAGATGTCAAGGCTGACTCCAGTTTCCGCATGGCGCGCTCGCCTTGAGCGGCGCCCAAAGCTGGCAGCAGTACTCAAGATTGGGGAGCACGAGGTAATCATTGTAAGAGCATTGTACACTCATGGTAGTGATTACGAGGTAATCATTGGGGAGCATTGTAAACTCATGAAGAGTGTAATCATTGGCGCTGCTTCTCTCGTTCGAGATGTCCGCCAGATCCACCTCATCCGTTGTCTGCCTCGGCCAACTATTTCCTCGACGTAGTCATCGAACGTAACTTCGGTATTCATCAACACTCCGAGATCTCGAACAAGTTGCTTCTCCTCAATTTCTGTGCCTTCCGATGCTAGAAGCGATGTGGCATCCCGGTCTCTGTGCCAACTGTGTATCTCATTAGTTCCATATTAGAATAGAATAGAAGTGTCGGCATTGAAGAAATAGGCCCATGGCATTTTTTATTGATGCCGTTGAATTGGATATTATTCATCAAGGCCAAATCGTTGATTGTTGACAAGTCATCCTGTAACATCTCGCAGTCTAGGTCATCTGTGATACGCGTCAGCACTCTTGTATCGTCCGTAAATGACGATGTAGATGCGTGGGAAAATTCTGAGTCGATGCCAGCTATGTGGATGAGGATCGGTCTAAGCACCGAGCCCTGGGGCACTCTGCTTTTTACCCTTGCTTCTCTCGGTTTCGAATTTCCAATTGCGTCAATTTGTACTCAATCTGTAAGGAAGTTGTGGATCCACCCCAATAGGCTTCCTCCTGCTCCCAACAGCTTCAGCTTTCTGAAGAGCACCCAACGGTCAACTTTTTCAAAATTTTTAGCAAAGTTTAGGTATACTACGCCCACGCCAACTCTCTCTTCCAGTAAGGCCACAAAGCGGTGACGGCGCACCAATAACAGTGACAAACAGGAACAATTTCCCCGGAAACCAAGTTGTCCATTATTATACAGTTCAACCTCTTCCATAAAATGGACAAGCCTCCTGGCCACTACCTTCTCAAAAACCGTGATCACATGTGTGATCAAGGTCACCGGTCTGCAATGTTATGGGGTATGTCCCTCGAACCTCCTCTGTGGATTTGTCAGTCCCTCGAACCTCCTCTGTGGTTATCAGTCCCACTTTGAGACCCTCAGGAATAATTCCCTCCATCATCAAGGCTTTCCAGAGCATTGGGAGCGGAGCCTTCAGTGTGCCAACACACTTCTTCAACAGCACTGCCGGAATTCCATCGGGTCCTGGTGGTGAAAACGTCGCCGGTTCTTTAATTGATACTCATTTTCATATCATTTGGTCCAAACTCAATGTTCTCCAACCCCCTTCCGCCTGACGGCTCCTAGCTGGAGAACTTCGATATCATTATCCTGTCTTGAGGAGCTGGGGTAACTGAACACTGATTCAAATTGCGATCCCAGTAACTCACACATGCACTGGTCATCTTCACCAACGACATCGTTATCCTTCAGCGGGCTCACTCGTGTGAGTCGTGTCTTTATTTTAGCCTTGGACTGAGCGTATTTGAAGAAATACTTAGTGTTCTCTCTGATGGCCTCAACTGCTCGTTCCTAATTCTTCCGTCCTGTGCAAGTCCAGCAGCCTGCGTTTGGTTTCCTTGTGAAGCACTAAGTCACTGTCTCGGCAGATCAATAGTGGATTTAGCTATTTATTTATTCAATCGCGTGCGTTTTCTCATGATGATTTGTCGGTCTCCCGGAATGCTGCGAACTTTAAGGTCCGTTTTTCTCGGGGTATGACGCATATACACCTGTGCTAGTTCCTCACTCTTGTGTAAATTTCCGCTCAATTCCTCGCATGAAACTCTTCTCTCCAATCAGTTTAAGTTCAAGTTCATTTTAAATTGCTTTCCAATCCGTTCTTCGATGGTCGAAGTTCAGTCCTGCCAGTCCCTCTTGGGGTATAGAACTGGGCTGGGTTTCAATTCTAATTGTCATATCCACCATCACCAGGCGGTGGTCGGACAGTGAGGTCTCGCCAACCCGAACGTCAACCACCATTCCTTCATTATTTGTAAAGAAAATATAGAAGATATTGTGTTCCCTTGTCGGTAGCCGTACTCGCTGACTGGGCAAGTTTTCTGCAGCAAACTTCACTAGTTTGGTCTCTTGTCTTCCGTTGCGGTCACTTGATTTATTCATCGATTGTATTTTTCATGGAGTCTAGATTTATTACTAGGCTGGTCAGCATTTTGTCATAATAATATGAACGCTTTGTTGAGTGTTTTTTTTTGTTTGAAAAATATTTTTGAAATTGTCTTTGCATTATCTATGACAAGTACACTGCAAAAGCGTTTTCAGCTAATTACCCAAATAAAAAAAAAAAAATACACAATTCCGCTATAATTTTACCTCTAGCTTCAGGGCAGAATAGATTTTGATTAAATTATCGCAAATAACATAACCCTCTCTCGATATCATCATGATGCCTTACAATCAAGATTCCACATGGATTTTCCATAAACAACCAATGAAAAATGGAGATAACAATCGTTGGCTGCAATCGCTGTGGTTAATCGACCTCACCTCTGTGGAGTCAACCAATCTCACTAAAACAGTATAAGATTTTTTTAGCTCCACTATTAGTTTAAACTTTAACGGATTGCTGGGTGCGATCACTCATTATTACTTGCAGCGGAAGCTGATAAATCGCTTTAGTGTTTAGTCTGACGGACTCTGATTCTGGAGAAGCAGACTTTAGGTGAAGCTCTGATTCACCTCTCAGTGGCGTGCCAGCTGCTATATCGAGTGGGGGTGTGGTGCTCTCCTCATTGCATTGTTTTCATTCCGGACCTGTATTGAAGTGGCATTGTTACTGTGAAATTTGTGCAGTGAAAGTCTGTTTGTTGTAATGCAAAGTCTTTCTAAATCTATTTATAGGAATGAAATATTCATTGTGGTATTTAATTCTAGATGCTATCGAAATGATTTGAAAAGTGAGAGTTTGTAGACTGTGATGTATATGGAGTTTCTAAAATCCATTTTGCCTTCCCCATCTAGTGCTGTTGATATCATTGTACCTTTTCCACGTTCTTTTAAAGTTTTTTGCCAAGTTTCTTATAGTTATAATTAAATTTTCCTCGCTATCGATATTTGTTGTCGACATTTCAGCGAACTGTGGTCGAATATTTTCCAGCTTCTTGATCACTGAATTGAATGCTTGCAAAATCTATCAAAATCTAAAAAATTAAAAACCTATTCGTGTTAACAAATGTAATTCTCGCTCTCTAAATAGTCTAAGTTCTTTGTTTAAGTTTGTGTTAATTAGCCCGTAACAATTGTAGTTTTACGCCTAACGCAGCTGAATGATTTAAATCGTCATTTAGGCAGAAAGCGTTATCCATTAACATAACATACCCTCCATTGTGATGTACAAAGAGGTACTTGATGCTTTATTAAAGCTGCTAGTTAATATTTTAGTCACTGCACGTAGCAGTGACGAAAATTCCTAGTAAGTACGGGCAGTGACCTGCTATTACCTAAATGAAGCATCATTTGATTCAGCGACCAAAGTAATTTTACTCTTATTGTTGCAGGCCTTATATCATTTACACAGTGTAGATCAGTCACTATAATGAAACTGTGGTAGTAAACGAGGTTGTATTGACATAACGTAGTTTAGAAAACAATCCCTACCCATGCCAATCAATTTCCATACATGATATAGGCTTAGCAGCCCGTCTGCGCGTGTGTGCATAAAATGACATTTAGAGTGATGCCCATTGAAATGAGTGTTGTATCAAAAACTCTCCGAATTCGAATAAATTAAATGGATGTACTGTAGAAACTAGAAGTCCATAGCAATAAAAAAAACGAAACCAAGTGTATTTGTTTGTTATGAGAACATGAAACGCCAACATAATTAATTATAATTATTGAATTAACTCTGAAGCTGATTGTCCCATTGTTGCGTTGATCTTCCACTCGTCGAACACGGCACCGAGATCTTGATCGACTGCATACGTCCAGTGTTCAGTAGCAAGGCAGTGTGGGGACCGAGACGCTGCATCCTACCTAAGCTATTGAAGCGTACCTAACCTATTGAAGCGTGGGCAGAGACTTTCTCGACGTTTGTATGCTGGGTGCTCAAGCTCATATATTACGAGTTACAAAACAGGAATTAATGTAAGGAACGAGGGCATATCCCGCTTAACGAGGGAGTGCCACAAATTAATTACTTGGTTTAAGCAGTGTTATAAGTACTTAGAATTACTCACTCAATGTTTGTATGCTAAAAGCCTTGGCAGTTTCATCCAGCATGAAGCAGTTGCAGGTGCGCCAAAACTACAAATCCATCCGCAAGCAAAGGGTGAGTGACTGTCTTTGCTGTAAGATTAATAAGGTTTTAAACTGGTAATATTTTATTGTTTGCATTTGATTAAACGCGAGAAGATTATGAAGAAATTAACTGACGTGCGTCAAGTGTAAAATATGTATAATAGCCAACAGAAAAATTTTGGATTTTAATTGAATATTTTATCTGAAGGTTGAACGTATCATAAATCCTCTTCACTCCATAATTTTTCATAATCCTCCATAAGAGAACGACTGATCGCAATTTCGGCAGTCTGTATTGATAACCTATACCACTATATACACACCCATTTCTCCTGCGCAATTCTGTTCTACTGTGTTCCTGTTAAACACCCATTTCTCTGGTGCAAATCTAATGTGTAACAGGAACGTTCGATAGATAAGTGATCACGAAAAATTATGTGCCCGTAATTTCTTCGACATGATCAAAATAATTATTTATTTTGCGCGATCTGTCAGCTAAATATCCTGTTGTGTATAATTTTCTTTTGGATCACTCGCAGGTTCTTATCTTCGATAATAACGCTATGTACTAAATCTTAAATTAAATCGTGCATTAACCCTTGCCGGTCTGGATAGGTACAATTGTACTTGCACTCTGTACGATAATAATGTTGAAAAATTATTGATAATTTTACATTTTTGCTTTGATAATTTAGATTTCTGACAATGGTTTACAGATTTGTATGGCAGCAGCAGTAAATAAGAGACAAGCTACATTAATTAAACGTCATAAACTAGCCTTGTCTTGCTAGAATTTTGTAAAAAATGTTTCAGCCTATATGATGTGAAGTATGTTTTGTAATCGAGCTTTTGTTGTCAGTGAAGCTTACCGGTAAATTACCGTTTCAACGTGTTATTGTATAAATAAGATAAAATTCAAATATTCTCGTTGCTAAGTTGCTTGTTTTACCGCCGTAAAATGGTCTTTCCGGCATTTCAGTGCCCGGCCAGCACGTGAAAATGTTTTCCAATTTAACACAAAAAACTTGAAACATTAAAAAAATGGATTATTTGCACCGAGCGACCGGCCACCAGAACACCGGTCAGACGGTGTACAGGCGAGCAAATCTCGTCTACAGGCGAGCATGTCTCGTGTACAAGCGAGCATGTCTCGTGTACAGGCGAGCATGTCTCGTGTACAGGCGAGCATGTCTCGTGTACAGGCGAGCAAATCTCGTGTACAGGCGAGCATGTCTCGTGTACCGGCGAGCATGTCTCGTGTATAGGCGAGCAAATCTCGTGTACAGGCGAGCATGTCTCGTGTACAGGCGAGCATGTCTCGTGTACAGGCGAGCTATGAGGCGTGAGAATCCTCTTCAATCTGGCGCAGTTTGCCGTTATGCTCTCCGCTCTCGAGCTGCCGCGTACGTTCATAAACTCCCCTAATAATACTTGTATAAAACTGCTTCAATTAGAGTGAACTGGGTCATCGCTTACGATACTTCACTAACGATCTAAACGACTGTGTCAGCCTCTCGTACTTGAAATTAACGAAGAAAAATTAATTTTTCGTAGAAAATTCTATTTTCTCTCAGGTTTCCAATTACCACGGCAGAATTTACTTCACGAATAGTATTTTATATTTTTTAAGACAAGCATGCAGGAAAAACAAGCGATGCTCAGAATGTTGAGCGTGTTAAGCAGCAGGTTAACCTGGTGGATTCGACACAGACAGGTTAACCGCTCGATCGTCGTTGGGGTTTTACAGTGATAGCTGACTGATTAGTCCGGTAGTAAAGGTTAAATAGTCTTTTTCTGAGAAAAAGTCTTTGAAGTTAGAGGTGAAAGCATAGAATCATTGCAGAAAATTTAAAATTGAAATCTGTTCATCATAGGAGTAGATAATATATGATGGTATTCATAATACCAGGTTTCAAACAAATACTCTCAGTCTCTCACCCACCCACAACAACAGCATTCACACACACAACAATAGCATTCACATGCACACACGCAACAATTTATAGCATTAACACACTCACGCTCACAAATATATTAACACACTCACACATAACATACACGAACACAAAATCGGTTCCCAACCCTGCAGCTGGCATTTCGATGGGTTAGCTAATGAGGCAAACCAGTTAAAAAGAAATGATTTATGTGTGCTTCAAAAAGTAGTAAAGGATTGTGATGCTACTATTCAATTTACATTTAGTCAGGTTGAAATTACCATCCATGGAAATTTTCCGTTCAGTTTGATCCATTTACTTACATTTATTTTTACTCATATATTTGGTATATGTAAATAAAAACAATTTTAATCTTTCCCCAATTAAGCCCGATTTTTCCATTGAGATCCAATTCGTAAAGTTGTCCTCACTGGGTTAAGGCGCAGTCAATGTTATGGCGTGGGCTGCTGGAGCTGAGGTCGACTTCATCATGTCTCCGCAGGACTCGTTTTTGCTGGTCTCTTAATTTGAACGCTGCACGATCCTGCAACATAGTTATCCGTTTAGGGGAGATGAATTTAGTTGACCTCGTCGATGTTTTGCTAAAGCGCCTTTTCACTTTCGGGCATTAATATACAAAAATATTTTATTATCAGAGTTAATTCACTAAAATTTAAATGCAAAGTTACATAAAATTCCTCATTTCAAATTCTTTAGGTACGAATGTTAGAACAAAACAAATTTCACACTATAAATTGTGAAAATTATTACTTGCAAAATGACGTTGTGGGCGATTTATTCTGGTGGTAATTAGTTTGTTTCTGCTGAATTCGCTCGGATGAAGGAGAAATCCATTGCAACGTGGGCGAGTCAATCAGTCTTTGCGCAATAGTTTGTTGATGCTGAATGAATTAACTCGTAGGGAAATAGGTTTTGGCTCTGATTGATATACTATTGATTAAGTGTTTCATGCATCTGTCAGTTATTGGAATTTGTAATAAATATAAATGTTTAGCTTATAAACAAATTTTACAGAAGACAAATTCCTAAAAAATAATAATGAAATAATATTATTTTCACATTACAATACTTTTAAATAGACAATTAAATGCTTAAATGTAATCAGTGATACATTTTTTCACGTGTAATTAATTTGTCCTTCTAATTCATACCTTGATAACGAAAAAATATTGCATCATATCGTCAATACTCAAACGCGTGAGATTTCTCCAGGATCATGGAAAATTTCTCGTACACAGGCGAGTATGTTTAATGTGTTCAATACACTTGTTCAGTAAATGAATAATTTCTGAATCAATTGAATGATAGACGGCGTGGTCGCATTCCTAGGTAGCTTTGTTGATAACCAAGCAGAGTTGACGCAGTCCGCGCGTTAATTTAAGAGATCCTCTTAACAGACCATGAAAAAGGCCCACTTATGTTGCAGTTTTTACGAACCTCATGTTGATGTTATCCAATAATCAACAGTGCAGTGAATAGGGCTTACATTTCTGGAGCAAATTATTCATAGGTTGCAGTCCGCGTTATTATATTTTTCCGAAAAAAAACTTGAACTGCTCGTCGTCGTCTCCCAAAGCGGCCCTCAAGGAGACGTCGGAGGGTCGCCCAAGTTCTACGCGTGGGTCGCCCTATCTAATTTAAACGCCTCGATATTTGGCTAGAGCGGAGCAGCTGATATGTGAAGCCAGTCCAACGAGTAGCATAGGTTTCGAGCAGAAAACAAGCTCTTTTGAAACATTGAAAATAATTTAATTTGCGAGCATGACGGCATTCGTCTAGATCTTTTCACCTTGCAGAAATTCATTTGTCGGCCAGGGAATTTCAAATTTTAATAGCATATTGCACATGTGGCGGTTCTATTCAAGAATAATCAGTAAATGAATGACTTGGTAATAAGTTTTTGGTGACTGGTAATTTTTTGGAATTCCGTTGTTATTGATCTGACCTTCCCCGAAGAAAACGTAACGAAACAGCTAACTGCTGGCCTCATGATTCTCAATCTTTATCGCCTGACCTCTTAATTTCAAGTGTGTTTGAACTTGTCCAACTGTCCGCATGGATTCTCATAGCTCTGACAAAACCTTGTGAGGCACATCAAAGACAAGTTCTTATACAAAATGCTTACCATTACATATGTTGAATATTTGCTCATTTTTATCCAAATGATTATCGTAAGAATATTATGACGTCTGGTCGGTCTCACCAAGCATACCCAGTTGGAAGAACCAGTTTTTGACTTCTATACTGGACCTTCAACTTTGACCCGCTCAGGCAAACTTTCCAAGTTTCTAGACTCGGTCAAACGATGGCGTTTCGTAATTATAGTCCCTCCATTTCTTTTAGCGATTTATTTGATGCCCGTGTCTCATTTTTATATTTTCTGTGTTAACTAACCCTGCCGTCTTACAACTTTTTTCTCTGATGAAATTCGCAATCGAATTCACTTTTTTTGGCGTCCGGGCTTTCCTCTTCACTACGTTACATTAGAGCCATGTACGTGTTGCCTCAGCCTCAACTATTGTGCTGATTTTCTCGATAGATTTCAGATTTTTCATGTGCCCCGCTTATAAATTGTTTGATACATAATTAACCACTCATCTTTGTTGGATTGATGGTAAATAATTATCGTTTAAAATTTTCGGCAATTTGCCACGAATTATTTTTTCATTGCCTGTTTCCCCTATTAGCTTACAGCCTTACACTAATAAACAATTAAATTCTTACCACATAGTATGCACTTTTTCTATTTCCTTCGCATATCCTCGGTAACTAAGGAAGATAATTTAGAAATCCTTACCTTTTTTATTGAAATAAGCTTTAGAGAGAACATAGGTGACCCTTCGTAATGTTTTTATTGGCCAGCGTCTTCTTGAAGCGTCTTCACATTCACCTCTAGTCGGATTCGTTATTTAAACGCAAAAACCCATCCCATGTTTTCCAATGAGACTGAAATGAACACATCAAGCATGCGTAGAAAAACGTGGAAGATGAGCGAAAAAGATACACGCAGGCTAAATGTGTAGAAGAAATTGGTTTCTTTTCTTGTTCTTTCGATAGACGCGAGCAGCGATCGTCT